AAAGTGGGTGATGAATAGACCATCGAAGCATGTTGCGGAACCAGCTGGAGAGGCGGGTCACGTGCGCAAGGTACCTGTGTTAACGTTTACGAATATAGGAAGTCCATCCTTTCACAAGCGTTGTTGGAGAGTACCTGTGAGAAAGCATGCCGCGTGTGAGCATCGCACCTGCAGTTTTGAAATCACATACCAGTTGTTGCAGACATACTCAAACCTCGTAAGCTGGCCTGTAAACACTCCCGCCGACTGGTGTGCAAGGACGTTAGAAGTAGGATAGGGATAACGAATAATAGGGAAATTCCATTCGGTTGCTTTGTCGAAAACACTCGTATGCAGGGAAGTCAGCGAACCCGGAGGCGTGCACCCAAGAATGTGCAAGAGCCGCCAGGTGCTGTGGTCTCCTTCCATTCGATGCCATAGTGCTCTAACAGTGGTGGCAAATGTCCCCATGAGAGAACATCATCGATCAAGCCTGAGCGGTATGTGAGCTCATACTGTTGAGCTGCACGAAGATCACGCTGCTGGAGGTCGTCAACAAAATGAGCCTCATCCCAATACAACGTCAAATTAGCTATCTCCGGATAAGAATTAGTCCCCATTGGGATGCCGATCAGCTGATGCCACAAGGTGTCATCTGCTGCATAAAGATACGTGTTTGTGACACCGCCGAGGATGAGATAGATGAGTACTACCAAGAAAAATGAGATAGATGAGAGAAGAATATAGCTTTAAAAAAAAAAAAAAAAAAAAAGTTTGTCACAGCCCCTCGTTTCTTGTCCTCTTCTCCCTCTACGCCTACGGTTTACCGGGGAGCTCTGTTCAACGATACATAAGGGTTCAGCCTCCTGATGAACCAGTGAAACTCCGATGAAATAGTTTGTCACACCTCTGTTTGACGAGGCCATATATATAATCAAACAGAACTGCCCGGTAAACCGTAGGCAGAGAGGGAGAAGAGGACAACACACGAGGGGCTGTGACAAACTGTTTTGTCGGAGTTTCACTGACTCATCAGGAGGCTGAACCCTCGACAGTCTGCAGAATCCCCTAACTGTAAGTGATAATACACCTTAACCCCAGTTGTGGTTAAGCATAAACGACTGCCCACCAACTGATACCCTGAGGTGCGCACCGACCACTGCCCTCAAGTACCTGTGACACAATTTTGGCTTTTTTTCTTATCGGGGTCATCTGTGCCACCAGGCCACATAACATCGCCTGCCTACGAGCAACCTAGTAAAGAAAAATAAAAAACAGAACCCTGGCCAGAACAACAGAGACACGAGCTCCACACACAAATCTGCAGATGCATGCATGTGTCATCATATTCGCTATACACAACTCCACAAAGAAAATCATGGTGGGACTTTCACTGACCAGGAGGCTGAACCTCCACAGTCTGCCCAGGATCCATTTGACTGATGGATAAGGACTCGCATTGCCCCGAGTTAGTGATACCCCTGAGATAAGTGGTCGACTTCACTCACTCTGACCCTGCAATACTACAGTCTGTCAATCCAAACCCCTGACAAGAATGGCAGTACGTCTGAGAAACTAATCTGACACAGCCATAAAACCCACTCTACACACCCACTCAGCCATGGTGTGTGTGTGTGTGTGTGTGTGTGTGTGTGTGTGTGTGTGTGTGTGTGTGTGCGTTGTTTTAAAAGACCCCAGATTGTCTCTCTCATTCCCTTCACAAACCATCACAAGCCGTCCATCATGAAAAAGTATACATCGGCAAAATAATAGAAAATGCAAGGTTCAGCAAGAAGGTACCGACCCGACCCCCTCAAAGGTCCGAAAAAACTTGGAGATCTTTCCTTGTCGGCCCACAAAACCAAGAACTCGTTTACCAAAAACAATCAAATATAACAGCATTGGCATTCCCGACATTCATCTCAAACTACACACTCGCATCACTGCCAAAGAGGAGGAAGAAGATAGGAGACAACTTACCTAAGACAGAAAACTCCTCCAGCAAGAATGCACTGACCCCCCCTGCTAAGGGTCCAAAAAAACTGGGAAAGCCTTCCACACCGGCCCACAAAACAATACATTCCCCCCAAAAAGAACTCGTGGCCACGCGTCTTCCACACTAGCAGGGGTCCAAAAAAACTGGGAAAGCCTTCCACACCGGCCCACAAAACAATACATTCCCCCCAAAAAGAACTCGTGGCCACCCGTAAACATCCAAACAGCCCATGCTCTAAAGCAGGGCAAAGAATTAGGCCGTGTGTGTGTGTGTGTGTGTGTGTGTGTGTGTGTGTGTGTGTGTGTGTGTGTGTGTTTGTTGTTAAAAAAGCACCCCAAATTCTCCATCTCATTCTCTCCAAAAAAACATAACAAGCCATCCATAGCAAAAAAGTACAGATAGACGTGCTGAAAACAGCCATGCTGGTGGTGGTCGTTGGTGGATTGAATAGGTTTCACCTATCTGATTCGTGGTTGGGAGGCTTTTTATGTTTCTGAGTCTTTCCTTTATCCATGGTTTGTTGGTTTTGGTTGCCAACGGGGGCCTTAAGAAAGATTCAAGATTCTGTGGGCTTCTAGCAACGCATCTTAAACGACTCCATTGCTGATATACTGAGTGATCTGCGGCTGTTTGATGCCAGGACGACGCTGGCCGGTGCTGGGGTGTTGCCCTGTAACCTGCTGATGCAGGAGTCTGAGGCCTGGTAGAGAGATCTGGGGAGGCTTTGGGGTGGGCATTCCAAGGGACAACCAAGGGTTGCTGCCGGGGCGACGCTGGCCAGAGCTGGGGCGAGTCGTGTTGGCCTGTAACCCAGCAAGGTGGGGGTGTGAGGCCTGGAAGAGCTCGGCAGGGAGTAAGACAGTGCTGGAGAGCTTTAGAAGGGTTGCTAGGGATTCACAGGGTTTTGAGCATTTGTAGGACCTCTGTGGTGGCATGATTTGTTGTGGGCAGACCCTTTTTTCTGTCGTTTGTCATAGTAATTTTCTAATAGCTCAAAATTCTCTCAGTCAAAGCCGGGTAAGGGCCCCGGTATCTCAAACTTTCAAAATTCGATGTAAATTTCCATATGGGACGCTGGGCCCAGTTCTCAGCACGTGCTGCTCCCCACGAATAGATTGGAGTCTTGTCCCCCCCCCCCCCCCCACACACACACACAAAAAAAAAAAAAAAGCAAGGTTGGCCACTTTTGTGTGGCTCAGCGCAAAGTGCCCACACACCCGTCTGCCACCGAAGCGGCACACTTGCACATATACATATAATTATTTAATCCATAAAAGGGTGCAGGGCAAAAAGCAACTATACTAAGACAGAGGACTGCACTAGCAAGAAAGCACCAACCCCATCCGCCATAGGTCCGAAAAGACTTGGAGAGCCCTCCACGTCGGCCCACAAAACCACAAAATAGCATAACACAAAAGGCTCCACCAACAAAAAAGCACCGACCACAAATGCCATTCGTCTAAAAATAAAAATCAGAGCCCCCTGCGATGGCCTACAACACCACCACAAATCACAAATACACTGCAGGACCTGTATGCAACACCAAGAGTGCCATGAACCTCCACCTGCCGCACAACCTGCAGAATCAGATGATATCTTGGTGCAACAGAGAGGCCCCAGAAAGTACTATGCCAAATTCCACAAGATCTCCACGCAACACCACGAGGGGTGCTACTGCCTAAAACACCCACCTAGAAGCTGCCCCATTCTTCCATGTGCTCCGAAAGAGCAACCCGCAGGAATGACACCCACAGCAAACACTCTCTGCACCTCCTCGCACAGATATTGTGGGCAAAACCCCAAACTCCCACCCCAGAAAAAAACTTGTGGCCACCCACCACTGACATTACTTCATCAACAAGGCAGCCCATGCTGCAAAGCAGGGCAAAGAATTAGGCCATGTGTAAAAACACAAACCGGCAAAACACGTGTGTGTGTTTTGAGTTTTCACCACAACAGCCGTATTCCACCCAGATGAGCGGATCCAAAATCAACGCGTATTCAATCCTATTACAGATAATGAAAGCCCTTGAGTTGAGACAATCCAACAATGAAACAATTTTGCCTCTATAGCAAGCAACATGAAGTACAATAGGGGTATGTAAACCGCTTTCTTAATTGTGTTCACGTTTGCTTTCTTCGGGGTACCCCTTTCATTTGTTCTTGCAGCTCCCCTTTTACCGTGCCTCTCATGCACAAGGCTCGCCGTGTTGATTGTGGGTGTGCGCGAGCAGCCCAGATCCCCGTGTGCCATAGCGCCCCACTTGTACACTATGAAAGGAGGCAGAGCAAAGGCGGAGGTATATTCTCGTTCAAGTATTCTCAGATCTTCAACATATATTTTGTCTGTTCTCTTAATTATGCTCAGTCATATGTATTACTTGTAATACAGAAGAGGGAGCGAGGAAATGGGAGGTGGAGTTCTAACAGGGTCATAAACAGTGACCACTCTGCGAGTGTGTGTGTGTCTGTCTGTGTATGTGTGTGTGTGCGAGTGTGTGTGTGTCTGTCTGTGTGTATGTGTGTGTGTGTGAGTGTGTGTGTGTGT